AAGTATCCTTTCTTAGCGAGTACCTAGAAGCCAAGAGGAACCATATGTGCCAAATTTCAAGTTTGTAGGCTTTACGGTTCTGGAGATTTTGTGATGAGTGAGTGGTATTTGACTTATATAAATATAGATTGCCAGTCTCCCTGTCAGCCATACCAAAGAAACTGAACATCGAATAATAGAGTCAGAAGGGACCTTGGAGGTCTTCTAATCCAACCCTCTATTCAAGAAGGAGATCCTATACCATTTCAGACAAATGGTTTGTCCAATCTCTCTTTGAAAGCCTCCAATGATGGAGCACCCACAACTTCTGAAGTAAAGCTATTCCATTGGTTGATTGCTCTAACTATTAGGAATGTTCTTCTTAGTTCTACATTGCTTCTCTGCTTGGTTAATTTCCATCCATTGTTTCTTGTCTTGCCCTTTGGTGTTTGTAAAATAAGTTGACCTCCCCCCCATCACGTCTTTGTTCCCCAGCATAATATTTGGGACCATGCTGAATTCACTATGAAACAAATATTAACAACACTCTCATTCTAAACTCAATCCTCATAAAAATTAGGATTAAAAGTATATACTTACATCATGTAGAGGATAAGCTGTTTCATAAACATTATTTGCTATTAATGTGTTAATACCTAAAAAAGGTACAAATTAGGATATTATCAGTATTGTTTTGTTTTGTATTATTTGTGTGTGTGTGTGTGTGTGTGTGTGTGTGTGTGTGTGTGTGTTTTTACCTGCCTTTCAGCAGAATAAGGTCATTCAAGAGATTATCAGAGCTTAAATTTAGAGCTGAAATTAATTTTCCAAATTATTATAACTTTGGGGGAGGAGGAAATCAAGATATTGTCCCTGAAAATGTAACGTTAAATTGTAGCCAACAATTTGAGTTTTGGAATCCAAACTTAAATTCAGCTGATTGATTCCCCCCACCCCCCAAAAAAAAATAATGTTCAAGATGCTCTTTAACTACAATTATATCTTCATCCTTCATTTTAATAAGATTTACAAGCACAGTTGGAAGTTATGCTGCTATTGAAAAAGCGCCATAACTTAAAAACTGATGCAGTTGCCAAATATTTACTGAATGCTAAAAGACATGATTCTTTTTTGTGAGAACACACACACACACACACACACACACACCTATATATATAAATTACCATTTCATGGAAAGGAGTGATATTAAAATATAACCCCCAATATTGCCCATAAAAACCCAAACAACATCACTGTCATTTAGGGAATCTGTTCTTACTCTGCCAAGATACCTAATGATTCCATTTTGGGCAATTTTTCAAGTTTTATGACTGCTGGCCTCCAAAACCAGAAATGATTCCATCAGCCAAACATCCTTAGCCCTTTGCTAGCCTTCTTTGGAGAAAAAGGGACAGGCTGATATTACAATACGGAAGTCCTCCCTTCGGTTATTCAAGAAATTAAGCCAATGAAATAAAGCAAAGATCCCATCCTGTAGTCTGAATCAGGCTGGCATTTCCAATGGTTAATATGTCAAATTTCTGGGGTTATTCTTTTCAATCCAGGAGGAGAGAAAATATATACAGTATTTTTCGGAGTATAAGACGCACTTCCTCCTTCTTAAAAGAGGGTGAAAATTTGGGTGTGTCTTATACACTGAATGTAGCCCCACCCACCCAGTGGCTCCCACCGTTTGGCCTCTGCCTCCCAGCAATTTGCCACCTTGCAGCAAACAGCCTGTTTCAGTTTCAGACCCTAAATAAATGGTCGTAAGTTGAGGACTGCCTGTATTTTGCAAGAAGCTGGCATGTTCAATACGATGGTTAAAAGATACCGGTGCGATATTTAAAATTCGAGCTTTTTCTTACCCATGCTGTTTTTGGCTTTTGAACTATATGTGCGCTTCAAAATTTCACGTACCTATATTTTGGAGGGAAAGAACAGAAAGAGAAAAAGAAAAATCACTTACAGATGATCCTTCAAAATTCAGCAGAAGCTAATCAATCAATGTAGGTTTTTTTTTTTAAAAAAAACAACCTAAAGCTAAAGGTTCCCCTGCCACATATGTGCTAATTGTTCCTGACTCTAGGGGGCGGTGCTCATCTCCGTTTCAAAGCCGAAGAGTCCGAAGATGTCTCCTTGGTCATGTGGCCGGCATGACTCAACGCCGAAGGCGCATGGAACGCTGTTCCCTTCCCACCAAAGGTGGTTCCTATTTTTGTACTTGCGTTTTTTACATTCTTTTGAACCGCTAGATTGGCAGAAGCTGGGACAAGTAACAGGAGATCACTCCATTATGCAGCACTAGGGATTCAAACCATTGAACTGACGACCTTTCAGATTGACAGGCTCAGTGTCTTAGCCACTGAGCCACCACGTCGCTTTAAGCCCTACTATAACCCAAATTCTGACTACCACTTCGCCAAAATACTGTGATTCATAGTTATTTATTTATTGCATTTCACCGTAGTAATAACGGGTACAAAAAGAAGAAAGAAGAATGTACCATAAAATTTGAAAAACATTCAGGGGAGGAAGGGTAGAAGAAGGACGTACCTTTATGAAAACTTGAAGAGAAAGTTTTCCCTCTACTGTAAAAGCTTTCCTTTGTTGTAAAAACTAACAGTTTTATAATATTCCAGGGGGATATCAACCCTTAAAGATGAAGTTTGAAGTTTTATTTTATTTATATGCTGCCCTATTCCCTATAGGGACTCAGGGCGGCGAACAACTCAAAC